ATACCGAAAAGTGGTCGATAGGAGGAAGTAAAGGAAGAAGCATGACATAGTTTTTCTTTTAAACGTAAATATTGATACGTCGGTCAAGTCTATCCAACAGATATGGAGAGACGCGGTGACATCTTACGGCCACTTTGCATATCTGTGGCACTGTGTATAAGACATCTTACAACTGATCCTTAAAACAAATAATGTTGAAAGAAATATTACATATTTAATTAAATGTATCTTAAATAATTACTATATCAAAGAAATACTTGTAATGTCGAATTTATTAATAATTTATTGATTTTGTGATAAATGCAATTGATACTCTGAGTGAAAAGAAAAATAGCAGTAATCTTGATTTATATTGCTTTTTGGCACCAAGAACATTTTTTTAGATGTTCCAACTATATGGTTGGTTATTTTTGGCAATATTATACGTATAAGGTTATTACATTGCTAACATTATACTAACAATTTCTATAAAAATGAGTATCGCAATTATAATTATATTAGAATGTAGTTATAATCCAAATATCACACACGTTTTTTTCAGTGTATGTTGATTGCAGAAATAAGAAGGTACACCTTTATATGTATCTATACGTATAAAATATTTTGTCCGAATGTTATGCAGTATATTTATATATTCTTAACTTACAACATTAGCAGACAAAAGTGCTTAACTAGCAGTATAATCACTATTCATTTTTCATAATTTACAATGTTATATTATCATTCCCTTGTATTACACTTGCAAGTAATGTTTAAAAACTTAAATGGATATAAAATTGTAATTCAATGTTTTCTCAATAAAAGATTTTTGTATTAAATTTCAATCATCAAATTCATCATTCAATTTCAATAAATCCGTATCAGACTAGATTTTAAAGACTAGATTTTAAAGACTGCATTTACGAATTGGAGATTAAAATTAGACTATCAAGCAATCTTAATTTTAATGTACTTTGCTTTGAATTGTAACTTGTTATTTGCAATTTTCCATCTTTAATAAATAATATCTGATATAAAAAGTTTTAAACTTAATCTTTGATAATACGATTGCAGAAAAAATTGCAAAAAGTTTTGCCTTTACTTATGTTGAATTTTATCTAACATTTCCACGATTTTTGTAAATTCCAATATTATAAAAATTTTACGTATTTATCTTTGTATTATTTTTGAAGTAAACAAAGTACGATTTCAAATGTTAAAATCAGTTATCAAATGAATCGCATCGGTATCAAACACAGCATACAGCACCGCATTAAATCATTATTGCGCTTGATATATTTCATGCAAATTCTTATTGCTTATAATTATTCGGCAAATATTACTTCAAGGAATATCCGAGAAACAGTCTTCAAAGCGGTTTCGAGAATGTTTATTTTTGTATAAAATTGTGCAACTAAGTGGATCGTGTTGTTATTTTAATTTTTCTATCGCAATTAGCACTGGTGTACACTGGTTATTACCGTGGTCAGAGACGTGCTGATCGAACAATTCGCGCGTCGACTCGGAGGTCACTCGTTCCATGCATGTCGCGAAGTGTTCCTCGTCGGGGACGTTAGTAATTTTTGATTACCTTATCTTTACTACGTTTTCTTTGCTGATCAATTGTCTGCACGCTGCGACTGGGAAGATGCTTACTCCATGCGTTGTGTGACTATGCCATTGTATAATTGCTATAATTTGTTACGAATTTTGTTTAAACGTTCAATTGGCTTTTGGTGATTTTATCACGTGGTTTACGCTTTACTGCTGAATTACACGTAATTTATTGCGCATACTACACAGTATATTAATGACAATTTCACACATAGTAATGTAAATGGAGTTCTTTTTGTGTGCAGTAAATGTAATTATTATTTAGAACGTCCCACACAAGAATTTATTTTTCTTTGTGCTTCGAGCGTATGCGTTGAATTATTGTTTATTTTGTCTATCATACATTCAACTTGCGCCGCATCTAGTCGGAAACATTTTGGTCTTTTAAGCTAAATGCTATGTCGGCAACATTACATTTTGCAAATACACAATGATCTTCAGCACGAATTTAGCGACGATTTACATTGTAAAATACTGTTGTGTAAAATTGATAATAATTATTATGGATAATATTGAGACCGACATTTATAGATGTAAATTTTTACATGTATGTGAATTTACAATTCAAAGATAAAATTAATTTTTATGCTAAAATTTTAACGTTATATGTATATATACATATATGTGTATATATATATATATATATGTGTGTATGTGTATTCTCGTGATTGACGTCTCTTTTCTTCTCTTTACCGAGCGCGCCTCAACGCTAGGATCAGCCTCGCCGAGCGTCAGAAGCGGCACTATCCAATTAATGATTAGATTCTTTTCCCTTTATTATTAAAATTTTAAAAATATTTCCCAGAACTATTGGGGAAACCACTCTAAAAAGAACGCGTCAGCAATATTATCTGACGTGGAAATTTAATGTAATATTTCCATAATAAATTTAAAAATTAAAAAAAATTATTTTTAATACATTTTTTAAATTGTAATAATAAAGGGAGAAGAACCTAATCATTAATTGGATAGTGCTGTTTTTGACACTCGACGGCGCTGATCCTAGCGGCTCATGTACGCGCAGTAAGAAGAGGATAGATGGCATCAACTACGAGAATCGGCTGAAATGCTGAGATAATTTCGAGCACTGATTTACATCATATAGAAAAACCACAGACGTTCCGGTCTTAGGCTTAGGCCATTTTCAGTGTGGAAGGTAAATAAACAATTTTTCGATAAACGATCTAAAAGTTTCAACGGAACGCCTTTTAAAAATTTTACATTTAACACCATTTGATACATATTTAAGATTGATCTCAAACGCAATTTCTTTGGTTAGATAATTTTTACTGTTGTTTATATCATCCGATTTTTCAATTTCGAGGTTGGAACGCAAAACCGGATATTTTAATTTGATTTCTTTATAGTTATGTATTCTTATGCCGTTGCTAATTAAAATTAAAACCATATTGACCGCACCAATGTTTTTAGTGTGTCTGAATTACATTATATTTATAAAAAAGTGTCTGAAATGCATCGCCTCATTTTTCGTAACGTCTTCATATTCTTACTCATCAAGTCAGCCTCATTTTATAACATTGTATTTACTGAGGATTCTAAACAACTACTGTCACTAGTTGCGAAAAATGAGGTGACGTTTTTTGGACATTTTTTAATAAACGTAGTGTAATTAAAATACACTGAAAACATTGGTGCAGTCAATATGGTTCAAATTTTAATTAGGCATCAGAGTAGATGACTATAAAGAAATTAAATTAAGAAAACACGGTTTTTCTATCCCACCTCGAGATTGAAAAATCAGAATGTATAGACAACGATAGAAATTATATAACCAAAGGAATTGCGTTTGAGATCTATCTTAAATATGTATTAAGTAGTGTTAAATGTAAAACTTTTCAAAGACGTTGCGTTGTAACTTCTAGATCGTTTATCGAAAAATTGTTTGTTTACCTTCCACACTGAAGATGGCCTCAGCCCAAGGCCGGAACGTCTGTGGTTTTTCTACATAATGTAAATAATAATTGCGGGTATTAAATTCTAGCTTTTAGCTCTACCAGCTGATGTAATAAAATTATGATTAATGTATTAACTTAAAGAGCTATATTTATTAAGCAAGTTTATGATAAATTTAAATGACTATTGTTGTTTCACAGTTGTACTTTTGGTCGTATTTTCAACTAAACTTTAATTTTTATTTCTTATACCGAAAAATAGTAAAACTATAATTTTACTATAAAAAATTAAGTCTTCAATAATACGATTATTTTTAATATTTAGCCAATAAAACACTAACGTAATTTACATATGCAAAATTTATCAAAGTTAATTTTTTATTTTATAATATATTTTATTAATATAATGTTATTATTATTATGTAATTTTTATTTTTTAATTTATTTTATACTACTTTGGTTTTATGAAATCACTTTTTAGTTATTAATTTATTTTATTTAGCAAGATGCATCAAAAATTTTAAAGAAGTTTATCGTCATTGGAAAAATATTTAGTCAGGTTACACAAATAAAGCATGTAATTTTCCGAAAATAATTTAATAAATCTTTGTTATTAATTTACTTTAACATGTAGTGTAACATTTTTTCTACGTTTTAATAAAATTTTTCGCGGATTTCTACTAAAAAGTAGAAATTTTTTTTACGAATTTAAAATCTCTGTGCAAGAGCGTGGCTCTGTTTTACTGTTACTTTGCATAGACTGCACGATTACATTATCAGATAATCATTAACGTTACGAAACAATTTATTAAATCAGGTAGCGTTTGAGTAAATTGAACAATTCTATCCCGCATTTCTTACACACGACAATGATTAAATATTCCGCAGAAATCGATTTAAAAAAAACAATTTTTTGTGTTACTTCAGAGCAAAATGTTACTAATAGAATATGAAGAAAAAAATAATATATATAATTTTTACATTGCGAAACATTTTATATATCGAAAACATTATAATAATTTATTACGTTAACATAACATTGAAAACTTATGCACGACAAAGAATAATTTTTTGAAAGTTAAATTGCATGCGAATTAAAATTTTACTTTCTTTTACTGCTACTTAAAGTTATGTATATATATACAATGTGGGTCAAAACTTTTTTATTTTCTATGGGCATACTAAATATTTTTGTATAAATTAATTAAATAAAGCGTTTTCCTTTCATGCATATGTATTTTACGTATAACAATAATTATTACATGCTATGTATTAACATTTACACTCAGTCTAATTATAATTACACTAAATTACTATGAATTGAAAAATGCGTTATGTCCATATTCAACATTATGTACCGCAAACTGAACATCATGCAAGCATTGATAGTATTAAGCAAGTAATCTAAAAAATTTTACATTAGCGTAATATTAGAATAATAACATGACGTAATTTTAAAGATACTTGTAATACTTTAGAGAATTAATACATTATTTATACATTTGTTTACATTATGCTGTCAATGTGTTTAAGTTTTCGTTTTATGAAGTTTCATGATCGCAGTTTCTATCTTTAATCATAAATAATTATAAATTGTAAAACATAGTTAATTTAAAAGTCGTTCGAACCGTTTTAATTTCTTTAATTATATTTCGAATTATAATCATTAAAAAGATTTGTCGTTATAATATTTTGTTTTCGCAGATTTTCGATAGCTACAAACATTTGAGAAATCTTGTATGATTATCGAATTTAACTGACAGACGTTAGTTTCTGATTGTGTTATTAAACAAATAAATAAAAAATTATTAATAAAATAGCCAAATGATACAATAAGCATTTGTGTTGAATATTTTTCAATTCTACAAGGAAATCGTCTTACATGTGTTACAGCATGCATTTCGTTAATGACAAATCTATTTTTTTATTATTCTGAAAGCATTATCAATTTGAGAGGCTAAGTATAACTGTAATATTTAAATAGACATACTCGTATTTTACCAATTATTATTATTACATTAATATTATAGTTCGAAAACCTGTAGTAATATAAAAATTACTAGGGAGTAATAATAAATTCAAACTACTTAAAGTACAATAAATGTTCAGGCTGCACGTATGACCAAGGTACACATAGAATTGTAAGAAATAAAAATAAAACTGAAATATTATTGTGCTGAATAACTTATTAACAAATTTTGTTTTTGAATCGAAGAGTCGATTGTTACTTTATAAAATTGTTTTACTTTATGAAATTATAAGCATAGTTTATAAATTTAAGACGGATTACATATAAGCAAATATATCAAATATATAAAATATATTGAATGTATTTTGTAAATTCCAAAAATGAAACTTAACCTTTCTTATAAAGCGTCAATTTATAAACGTATTTATAGTTTCGAAAACATAAAACGAATTATTACACGTCAGAGATACATTATTTCTGTGCATTTTAAATTGCTTAATATAAAATAACCTAAAATGTTTCAATTACCAAAGTAGAGATTGCCTTTTGTCGTGGTGCCCGGTTGTCGTGCTACATGATCGTCGTTAGCATCTTTCTCTTTACGATGAACCTATATAAAATTTATAAATATTTGCTGGTGAAACATGTTATCTAACTATTGTTTGCATTTGTTCTACTTAAACGCGACTCGACAAAGTTAAAATTAATTATATGCACGTATATAATTGTATTAACAATAAAACTTACTGTCACTTATCTTTTTCCTTACTTTTTTTTCTGTGGTTGGCTTCCTGATGGTCCAGCTGTTTCATACTGTCTTTTCATACTTGGTGGCTCTTTCGGATGTGTATTTTCAATATGGTCGTTTAATTTTGTAAATTCAATATTCAGTTCCATTTCTTCGGGACAAAGACAACATTGCACTTGAAAATCTCCGTCGATGTCACAGTATTTTGGGGCCCATTCAGTTCCGTTTACGTCCCCAACAGTTTTGCCATGTTCTAATGTATGCATGAAAAATATATGGCTTATTACCCCAGAGTCAAAATAAGTAAAGTCTTCAATATGCCACTCTTTGCAGAGATTACATTGCAACTTGTTTTTGTTATAATATTTGTAATGTTTCCACGGGTATCCTCTGTGTTTTTCTTCGTGTTTATAAACTTCGTTATGATATTCGTGAATATGTTGACGAATTTTGCTAAAGTTTACATAATATTCTTCAAAATCGCAAAAGTTGCATCGTGCATGAAAACGATCAGGATTGTGTAGTGTGTAATTGTGCAATAGTTCTTTCTTATTTGTGATTATAGTTGGCTTACGCGTTTCGTCCGTTTGGATATTTTTCAATTCGTTTCTTTTTTTATGCTTTTCAAAATGTTTTTTTAATGTCGGACTTAAACAAAGTGGTTTAAGTTCATTACAATTCTCCAGTTTGCACTTTACCCAAAACTCATCATATTGTATCATATATTCATTTTTAGTCCTTTTTGTTTCATGATGTACCATTTTTTCTATAGAATGTGTTTTTAAGTGAGCTTTAATTGTTGCCTGTGAAACGCGTTTTCCACAAATGTCACACATTTGCAATAATTTGTTGTAGTATATATCTGGATCAGCTTCTATGTTTTTGTTTGTTTCTCTGATGAAATATTCTTTATGTGTGTCTGTACGTAAATGACGTAAAAAATTGTCATTGGTCGCGTAGTCTAAACTTGTTCCGCACGTATTGCATCTTGCTCGAAATTTCTTTTGGTTATCTCTTTTAAAATATTGAAACACATTGTCTTTTGTTAAGATTATTTCTGACATTGTGTCTGCTTCAACTGACTAGACGCAGATAACTGAATACAAGCCTTACATACAGGAGCCTTTATACCGAAAAGTGGTCTATAGGAGAAAATAAAGGAAGAAACATGATATTGTTTTTCTTTTAAACGTAAATATTGATACGTCGGTTAAGTCTATCCAACAGATATCGAGAGACGCGGTGACATTTCACGGCCACTTTGCATAGCAGTGGCGCTCTATATAAGACATGTTATAACTGATCTTTTAAACAAATAATGTTTAAAGAAATATTATATATTTAATTAATTGTATCTCAAATAATTACTATACCAAAGAAATTTTTGTGTGCCGAATTTATTGATATTGTGATAAATGCAATTAATACACTGTGAGAAAAGAAAAATAGCAATAATCATGATTTATATTGCTTTTTGGCACCAAAAGTATTTTTATAGATGTTTTAACTATGTGGTTGGTTATTTTTGGCAATACTATACGTGTAGGTTATTACATTGCTGACATTATACTAACAATTTCTATAAAAATGAGTATGGCGAGTATAATTATATTAGAATGCAGTTATAATCCAAATATCACACACCTTTTTTTCAGTGTATGTATGTTGATTGCAGAAATATGAAAGTACACTTTTATATGTATCTATATCTATAAAATATTTTGTTTGAATGTTATGCAATATATTTATATATTTTTACATTATTAGCAAACAAAAGTGCTTAACTAGCAGCATAATCACTGATCAATTTTCATAATTTACAATGTTATATTATTATTTCCTTGTATTACACTTGCATGTGATGTTTAAAAATTTAAATGTATGAAATTGTAATTCAATGTTTTCTCAACAAAAGATTTTTGTATTACATTTCAATAAATCCATATTAGATTTTTAAGACTGAGTTTGCGAATTGGAGATTAAAATTAAACCAATCAAGTAATCCAAATTTTAATGTATTTTGCTCCGAAAAATTGAATTGTAATATGTTATTTGCAATTTTCCATCTTTAATAAATAATCTGATTTAAAAAATGTTTGAAACTAAATTTTGCGTAAAACGATTGCAGGAAAAATTTCGAAAATATTTGCTTTATTTATGTTGAACTTTGTCTAACATTTCCACGATTTTTGTAAATATTAATATTATAAAATATTTACATGTTTATCTTCGTATTAGTTCTGAAGTAAGCAAAGTATGATTTCAAATATTAAAATCATTTATGAAATAAATTGCATCGGTATCGAACACAGCATTTACCGCATTAAATCATTGTCGCATTGTTGCATTGTTGATACATCTCGTACAAATTCTTATAATTATTCGACAAATATTACTTCATAGAATATTCGAGAAACAGTCTTCAAAGCGGTTTCGAGAATGTCTATTTTCGTATAAAATTTTGCAGCTAAGTGACTCGCGTTGTTATTTTTATTTTTCTATCGCAATTAGCACTGGTGTACAGTGGTTATTGCCGTGCATTCAGCGACGTTCTGATCGAACATTTCGCGCGTCGACTCGAGGTCACTCATTTCGTGCATATCGCAAAGTGTTCCTCGTCGGGGACGTTAGTTATCTTTGATTACCTTCTTTTTACTACATTTTCTTTGCTGATCAATTGTCTGCACGCCGCGACTCGGAAGATGCTTACTTCATGCGTTGTGCGACTATGTCATTGCAATGCCGGATTCGAGGGTGGGCGGACAGGGCGACCGCCCAGGGGCCCCCACAAATTGGGCCCCTACAAACAAAACTTGATTAAAAAATCTA